ATGGTTAAAAGGTCAAGCTCCCAAGGGCGTAAACAACATGGAGACCATTCAGTTTGTTTCAGGGGCTTGCCGACAAGTTTGTTACTGACCAGCTTGCTGGGTCTTCTAGAAAAGCGAACTTACAGGTGTTCTAAGCCCGTATTTTATCCTCAAGTACCCCTCAACACAGAAAAACAAATTCATAGCACAAAACACACCAGCCTAAGACCAGTCTTAGAATTCATTTTTGTGTCAATCAAAAGTTTACAGAGGAGATAAACACTGATATCTTTTACTATTCATTCAACTGTTTGCACAGGGAGGGAGAAGCCAGTAATCTGACTGGTAAGAAATTCTTATCCTTTTGCCGGCATGCCAGACTTCTGGGTTCCCTTTCCGTTAGCGGTACTAGTGATCCAGCTTGTGGCACCATCACCCTGGGGGCCAAGCGGCATCATAAAGGAAATTTTTTTTTATTCTAGCCAGAGAAAAATACGTGTGATAAAACATAGACATTAGTCACTCTGCTTAGCACCCACTATCAAAGGGGCAAGGCTTAAATTTGCCCCCAGATGGACCCCATCATCTTTAATCCAACCTCCGACTTGGAGTTTCAACACTTGTTCTCTGGGCAAGATGGTCACCCTGAGGAACAGAAAAGATAAGAAAGGGATCCAGGCTTGGTGGTTCACACGTGTAATCCCAGCACTTTCAGAGGCCAAGGTGGGAGGATCACGAGGTCAAGAGATCGAGACTATCCAGGCCAACATGGTGAAATCCCATCTCTACCAAAAAAAAAAAATACAAAAATTAGCTGGGCATGGTGGTGCATGCCTGTAGTCCCAGCTACTCAGGAGGCTGAGGCAGAAGAATCACTTGAACCCGTAGGTGGAGATTGCAGTGAGCCAAGATTGCACCACTGCACTCCAGCGCAGTGACAGAGTGAGACTGTCTCAAAGAAACAAAAAAAGATTAGAAAGAGAAAAGGAAAAGTAGAGAAAGAAAATATTGCCTGTGGCAGGGTGGGGAAGGCAAAATGATCAGTGAGGCCAGAGAAAGACCCACCCTTTGCAGCAACACTGAAAAATTTCAGGTGGCTACTGTTGGTCCAGCAGGGATCTTTTTCCAGCAGTCCCATCAGCTCTCAAGTTTTCCCTTTTGGAGGAGGAAAAAGCTCTCCATGTCCCTCGATACTGTACATGCCTAACCCTGTCACCCTCAGCCATCAGCAAAGAGTGCAAGGCAGATTAATTCCAAAGAGAATAGTAGTTAACATCCCATAGTTCTGAACCTGTTCTTAGCTGAGAGGGACTTTACCAAGAGGGGCCTCTAACCCCCTAAATCTTAGAAGGGACTTTAACCCTTCCAAGCTGGGCCTCCAACCCAAGGTCAGTCAAGCGTCCTTGCCTTTTATTAAAGGAGCCTCTAACCCACTCTGTCTTAGGAGAGACTCTAACTTCCCTAAGTTGGGCCTCTAACCCAATCCCATTCTTTACCCAGGTACCCCACCACTCACCCAAAGTCAGCCAATCAGTGCTGCAGTCTGTTTCCTTTGGGTTGGGGAGGTTTCCTCAGTATTGTCCCTTTTTTGGTTCATGAGAAAGATGTTACCAGATCCCACCACTTACCCAAAGTTAGCCTCTGGATTGGGGGTTTCCACAGTATAGTCTCTTCTGTAGTCACCAGAAAGATGTTTTAGGACCCCAAAACTTACCCAAAGGTAGCCATTGGGTCAGGGTTTCTTCACTATAGTCCCTTCTGTGGTCACCAGAAATATGTTAGAGGAAAGGGGTCTCGACCCCATGTTCTAATACAGGGTTCTCAGATCTCATGCAAGAAAGAATTCAGGGCTAGTTCACAGTGCAAAATGAAAGCAAGCTTATTAAGAAAGTAAAGGAACAAAAGAATGGCTACTCCATAGACAGAGCAGCTACACTTGTCTGATTAGTGGATTGTATTCATGTATGTATGTTTCTGCACTTGTCTGATTCAGCCTAAAACCTTGCTATTTTAGATCAGTTTATCAATTTCTCCAAAAAGAGCACTCTTTGAGATTTTAATTGTAATTGCTTTGAACCTATAGATCAATTTAGCAAAACTGTATCTTAAGCCTATTGACTCTTGATTCATGAACAAAATATATCTCTTTATTTTATATGGCTCTTAAATTTCCTCTCAGCCATCTTTTGTACTTTTCAATGTGTTATAGGTCTTGAACTTCCTTATTCAGATTTATCCCTTAGAAGTTAATATTATTTGATAGTATAATACATACCATTAAAAATGCCAATCCAAGTTTGTATTGCTGATGCAAAGAAATACAATTAAATTTTGTATATTGATTTTTAATCCTGCAGCTCACTTATTGTTTCCAGTAACTTTTATAGATTTCATCAGATTTTCTACTAAAAGATTATGTTATCTATGAATCATATCGTTTTACTTCTTCCTTTTCAATCTGGATGCCTTTTATTTCATTTCTTTTTTCATTGCACTGACTACATCCACCAGGACAGTGCTGAAGAGAAGTGAGTAGGGCTGATATCCTGGCCCTTTTCCTTATCCTAGTGTGTGTGTATGAATTTCTCAATTATATACTCTTAGATGGAATAAAATATTATAATCCAATTGAAATCTCTGCTTCCATCTGATAGTTTACAAATAGTAACAAAAGTCTACAATTAAATTAATGCTTCATTCACTTTTGAATAATAGATTGATAATATTAATACATACAAAATAAAGACAATTTAAGAAAGAGAAAACCATGTTTTCAGTATCAGTAATTAGAAGTTAGAATCAAGTACCTACACACACACACACACACACACACACACACACACGGATAAGAAAAAATCTATGTGTGTGTGTATATATACATATATAATTGTGTGAAAAATTGATTCACACATTTATGAAGGCTGAGTCCCAGAGTCTGCCATTTACGAGCAAGCACGAGACCAGGGAAACCAGTGATGTACTTCAATCCATATCCGAAGACCTGAGAACTAGGGAAGCAAATGTGTAAATCCCAGTTTGAGTGCAGGAGATGTGGACTGAACATTAACATATGCGTGTATACATGTACGTTTGTACATGTGTGTGTAGGCTATGTGTATATCCAATATGGAGTTCTGATAGTTTCTATTTTATTTTATTGTGTTTCTTTATAATGCTATTCATTGCTCATTACATTAAAGATGCAAATTACATTTCATCAATGAATATGTATTTTGTGGTAACCCTAGTGGCCATATCAAATATATCCTTTTTGTCTAAAAACAATGCATCTTTAAAAGTTCATATTAAACTTCAAATAATGGTGTTTGTTTGTCACAAGGCAAGAGTTAGTTAATGAAAAGTAGACCTCAGGAAAAAGGATCCACAGGTACAGGTGCCCTCTTGTTCACCTGCCATCCTGTATATGGTTGTCCTTGGGCTTGGGTGTAGTTAAATGTCATGGGGTTTTTTTCCTTTTTTTTTTTTTTTCGAGACGAAGTTTCACTTGTTACCCAGGCTGGAGTGCAATGGCGCGATCTCTGCTCACTGCAACCTCCGCCTCCTGGGTTCAAGCAATTCTCCTGCCTCAGCCTCCCAAGTAGCTGGGACTACAGGCACGCGCCACCACACCCAGCTAATTTTTTTGTATTTTTAGTAGAGATGGGGTTTCACCATGTTGACCAGGATGGTCTCGATCTCTTGACCTCGTGATCCACCCTCCTCGGCCTCCCAAAGTGCTGGGATTATAGGCGTGAGCCACCGCGCCCTGCCAAATGTCATGTTTTTATGATCCCTCTTCTCTCCATGAGGGAAGTGTGAGAGTTATATTGGGCATGATAGGTAATTTGAACTCAAGCCTCAAGGACCCTTATTTAAGATGTCAAAAAGTTTAGGAAGGAAAAGTAAAAGAGCTATCCAAGTCCCTTTCAATACTCAAGAAACCTTGCAGCTCCTAGTCAACAGAGGCAGGAAAACCTCAGCCTACTAACACAAGGTGCATCAGTGCGCATGTCCGTTACTGGGCATGTCCATTATTGTGCATGTGCCTTGCTGTCGGCGGTCTGCGCTCGGAGCTGTGGCCTGGAAGGTGGTCCTCTGTCCTCTTCATTTTTTCTCGCGGACTGGAACTCAACCCGTAGGTCTGCAATCAATCCTCCAGGGAATGTAGTTGTGAGTGAAGGTGAGGGGGAGCCAGTGGGCTTTGGACAGGTCCTGTGGCACAGTCCGTGGCTTCTGAGGGAAAAGGGCATTGCAGTCGTCGTCCAGCTCCTCCCAGGTCGCGATGCCACATGGGCCTTTGTCGTCGTGGCTGGGCTGGGATGAGGGAGGAAGGTAGGCCTCGGAGGGGAGGAATCACATGGAGGTGGGATGAGTACTGGTCGTACTGTTGGGGGTACCTGAGTTCTGAAAGCTCCTGGAACCCTCCAAGGGAGGACAGATTCCCCAGTTCTCAGATGGGACCTGGGCAGGGGCAGGGCAAAGTGGGTGGTAAGGAAGGGGCATGGGAACTAGGAACACTGCGGGCTGATGACTGCGGCCCCAATGTCTGTAGAGCACCCCACAGCAGTAGGGGCTTGGCAACTTCACACCTGCACCAGGACCTCTCAGGAAGGAATGGGTGAGGCTGTGCATTCCAACAAAACTTGATTTTAGGGGGGAAATGGGCCGAGTAAATGAGAGTGGTACAAAGCCAGTAGTCACTCCGGTTCCAGTTCTCCACCTATATTTTCCTAGATGTCTTCATGATGGAGAGTCTAAGTGTGAAACCAAAACTCACAAGGTCCTCTGTCTTGCCATGAGCCTTGCCAGCTAGCATAGCCATAATATGAATGACTTTGTGAGCAGCCATATTTGGTATGATTGGAAAGCATGCAAGTTCACTACTATCCTGGAACTTAATTTTAAGATATTTTCAAAATGTAAAAACTTTAGGTATCATCTAATTTAGCCATGGAAGTGGTCAAATGATACACTCTTATGTCCATTTGGTGAATCACAGTAAGTCACTTTCAGAGTGAAGTATGAGTGGACATCAAAGAACAAGATCTACATCTAGAGAAAGAAGAGATGATCAAGAGTCTAACCATCCAGTAGGGGCTGTGGTTGTGAGTATTTTAACATTTGATATTTTCTATTAGAAACTTATTTTTGTGGAAATGCTGTTGAACTTGTATTGATATATTAATAAGGTCTTCCATGCTTATAAAGGTAATAATTGAATCTTATGACATAAACATAGATTTGGATGTTTGCATTCTAATGTTGCGTAGATGGTTATGTTTTTTTTATTCCCCAGAAATATGCCCTATGGCTTCCTTCTCCTGCTTATTCATAACACATTGTATACATCCATTCTAGCGTGGATTAAAAGTTTCCCAAGTTTTTAAGGAAACTCTTTTCTTGTAGTAATTATTAAGAATAAGTATATGTAGAATTGTGTAAGAAAAAATGTTTTTAGAGTTATTTGTGGTGAGATGTATCTGTATATTGAGTATCTGCATATTATTGACATATATAATAACAGAGCTTTTTATTTGCACACGCATTCACATTCCTAGGCCCAGGAGCCGCCCAGTGATGACCAACCTCAACAAGAGGAACCACCAACTGAAAATCAAGATTGTACACCTGATCGAGAGAGACATGGGGGACGACCGGAGTTCCAAGGTGAAGGATGGGAGAGGAAGAATGTCTGTGAATGGAGGAGGTGTATGTGTGTATCATGTATTGTAATATGAAAGTAAAAGGAGGAAAAAAGCAATAGAAAGAGATCTCAAGCATTTCCTGAAAATTGGCTGGAAAAGTGAAGAAGGCATAAATTGCAGCCAAGTGCAGTCCCTAGGTATAACGCATTCCTACCTTCAAGACTTACTTGTTATGCTTGCCAGAGCCCTTCATTAGCAAACCCAGGGAAACTATGTTTAACTTTAGTCAGAATTTGCGCCATTTCACTAGTTAAATTTGATCTTAGAATGTTGTCTGTCCTTCTTAGTAATTACAACAAAAGTTTAAGCAACTTTTAATAGCATGTGTAGAGTGCTAAGGCATCATGTATATATGTTTTTACATATATATGATATATATGATTTTATATCTATATGATACATGGTTTTTACATATATATGTTTTTACATATATTGACATTTTTACATATCCTGACATGTTGACATGTTTTACATATATGTGACAAATATATGTTTTACATATATATGACTGTTTTACATATGACGTTTTACATGTAATAACATGTTTTACCTATGACATGTTTTGCATATGACATACATATGCTTTACGTATTATGACATATATGTCTTTACATGCTATGACATATGTATGTTCTTACATATTTTAACATGTATGTGTTTTACATATGACATGTTTTATATGTTTTATATATAATGACATACATTTTACACATATGACATGTTTTACATATGATATGTATTTTATGCATATGGCACATATATGTTTTTACATATACTGACATGTTTTTGCATACATGCACATGTGTTTTACATATAGAGATATATTTTTACATATGTGACACATATGTGTTTTACGTGTGTGTGATACATGTATATTTTTTACTTATGTATGATATGTATATCGTATCCACACCAATTCACACCTTGGATTAAACTAGCTTGCATAGAGATATATAATCTCTCTATATATGATATTTCATATATAACACCTTGGATTAAACTAGTTTGCATAGAGATATAAATCCCAATTGATAAGTAAGAAAACTGAGACTCAGAGATTGTGCTTACCAAAGAGCACTTCACTGGTGGAGAAATAATTTGTACTTCATTCCAAAGTACGTATTCTTCTTACCATCTAGGTTGCTGTAAGAAAAAGCAGGTTTTAGGGATATACATATTAATGAGAGAGATGATTTCAGCCTTGAGCTCACAATCTAGTTACAATAAAATGAATCACTAATTTAAAATTATAAGTACAAAAACATATACCTACAAAGGGGTCAACTAAGCTGTCTGGGGCACTTGTGGGAAAAGAAAAGGATGATGACATTTGGAAAACCTTGTTTTCTTTTTCTGACAAGACTCCTGAAATAGTGTTGTTGAAATTCTTATGCATTGCAGTTATTACCACACTAGCCTATAGGCTTTTATTTCATAACATTGAGGGAGTGAATATTATCACTTTTATTGTATTTTATGTTTTACAACTTAAATTGGTAACCTTTTTTATTTTTAAGTGCTAGGCCTGGCAGCCTATATCCGGGAACTGATTCAATCAAAGACTGGGGGTGAACGCGGGGATGGACTTAATGTCGTGGGAGAATTTCTGCCAAATCGGGAGCCTGTTACAATACCAGAAGCAGGTAAGTTATCCATTAAAAATGCAAATTATAGGGTTTCTGCTTTCAAAAGTACTATACATTTTATAATACAGAGGTACCATTACTTCTGATATAGTTAACAGAGTTCATATATAAAGATTCGTTGAAAGATAGTTCAGTCTCCAAAAGCCTGACTTATAAGCTGGCAGAGATTCTACCACATTGGGTCAAAGCCACATTCCATTATAAAATGTGAAGATATTTTCTTACTTTTTAGTATAGTTCCTTAACCAACAGCTAACAATATTAGATACTTTTATGAAGGTCTGCTTTTAAAAAGTATCTAATTTGTAACAGATGTTCATTGTTTGAAACATGCTGGGGCAATTAAGTAGGCTTTAGTCCAAGCTCCAGCATAATTTTAACTGACTTCAGGCAAATTCCTCATTCTATACCCACATTTGCTCTTATAAAAATGGGTCAAAATCAGATACATTAAAATTTGAGTAATCAACTTAAGTATGTTTTACACATGTTTTTTCGAAACTTCTAGGCATTAATGATATGAGCTTCTGAATTTAATGCAAACACTTAGTGTTTAGGGAAGAAATTACCTTGCATTAGTCCACTGTTTTTGCTCTACATTCCTAATCCATTCCTTTAGAATATTTAGATTAAAAATAGTTTTCAGGCTATGTTCAGGAATCTATTGAACATATACTCATAGTAAGATCATAGTCTTTAATAGCTAGGTTATTAAAAAATAAAAATATAAAATTATATGAGCATTCAATATAAAAAGAAAAAGGTACAAAATAAACATAAGGAAAAGGAAAAATATACTTTTTGTCTGTTTAATTTTAATTTTCTTTTTTTGTTGTTTATTTTATTTTATTTTTTATTATACTTTAAGTCCTGGGGTACATGTGTGGAACATGCAGGATTGTTACATAGGTATATACATGCCATGGTGGTTTGCTGCATCCATCCCCCCGTCATCTACATTAGGTATTTATCCTAATATTATCCCTCCCTAATCCCCCCATCCCCTGCTGTCCCTCTCCTAGCCCCCTCATCCACCAATAGGCCCCAGTGTGTGATGTTCCCCTCCCTGTGTCCAAGTGTTCTCATTGTTCAACACCCACTTATGAGCGAGAACATGCAGTGTTCACTCTTCTGTTCTTGTGTCAATTTGCTGAGAATAATGGTTTTCCATCTTCATCCATGTCCCTGCAAAGGACATGAACTCATCCTTTTTGATGGCTTCATAGTATTCCATGGTGTATATGTGCCAGATTTTCTTTATCCAGTCTATCGTTGTTGGGCATTTGGGTTGGTTCCAAGTCTTTGCTATTGTAAACAGTATAAAAGACAGGTATAGTCATTAAGGGAAATAATTCAACTAGTAAATAAAAGAGATTTTCAACATATCTATGAATAGGTATGTTTGCATAATCTTGTTTACACAATCTTATAGAAAATGGTTTTCTACAAGAGGATGTGGTTTACAATATAGTCTCTAGTTTACATAATCTTGAAGAAAATGGACAAAGCTCAAGTATACAAAATAAGAAATAGGAAGAAGACAGGACAAATACTGAATGTGTAACACAATTACAAGTGGATACATTCTTCAACTCTGAACAATTTTCAAAGTTTGATGCAATGTTTGATACGCTATTGAAACAAAATTATTTACTCTACCACAGTAGTGAGTATTTAAACATCATAACATGGATGAACTTTTAAAACTTGCCAGAATTTTCCATCAAGAGTGTTTATCATTTAGAAACAAAAAAAGATAAGCTATTGTTTATTTGTTTTTAGCTTTTCCAGATTCATCAGTCTCTTCGTGTTTCTCCTTCTCTCCCTCTCCTTCTGCTCCCCCTTTTGCCAAATTATGAGAATCATTATTGTTTCTTTTTAACACTTTATCTATAATGATAATGGCTTGAAACCAGTGAGACAACATAATTTATTGTACAAGCTGGAATATTTTTAAATGTTCAAAGAAGTGTTATTGATAATTATTCTAGAACCACAGGTGAAAACAGGGACAAAAGTTTAACCTATTTTTTTTTTTTTTTTTTTTTTTTGAGACGGAGTTTCGCTCTTGTTACCCAGGCTGGAGTGCAATGGCACAATCTCGGCTCACCGCAACCTCCGCCCCCTGGATTCAGGCAATTCTCCTGCCTCAGCCTCCTGAGTAGCTGGGATTACAGGCACGCGCCACCATGCCCAGCTAATTTTTTGTAATTTTTAGTAGAGACGTGGTTTCACCATGTTGACCAGGATGGTCTCGATCTGTTGACCTCGTGATCCACCCGCCTCAGCCTCCCAAAGTGCTGGGATTACAGGCTTGAGCCACCGCGCCCGGCCAGTTTAACCTATTTTAAATAAACATATAAAGAGTAAACTAATCACAAACATTTTAGCATTTTGTCATAACAGAAACAAAAGAAATATAATACTAGCCTTTCTATTTATGTCACTTAAGCACTTTCAAATGTGGCATTACTGTTTGAGCTATCGTATATTTTAAAAATTATTTCAAATTTCTTTTGTTTCCTAGGTTTTATGTTTGGTTGGTTGGATTTCTTTTTTCTAAAATTACATGCAGTTTTTAGTTAAAACTTTGTTTAAATAGATTCATTTGATCAAATCATTTTGAACTCAAACTCTTTCTTATACACTAGAAAAAATGAGTGGGATTTAAAAATATTGTTAATATACCTGAAAGTCTACTTTCTAAGTCTCTAGAGAGGTTTAACTGGATATAAGCCAGAGGGTTACCTTGTTATAGTTCATTTTATAAAGCCAAAACTATGCCTTACTTTTTACCGATAGTGTTATCAAAATAAGTTCTGCTAAAAAAGATTTCCAACTGTTACGTTTATTTTATAGGTGAAGGGCCACCATCGTTTTAAATGAAGACAAGCTGAAACCATACATGCAGTTTTCATGTTGGAAACTTGATGATTCAAATTATCTCAGTAAAGTTTCCCAATTGTCTGTGAAGAAGTCTTGTGCATTTTATTTTAAACTAGGAATAATTAGGTATTTCATACTATTGAAAATTGTATCTTTTTGAAATTTTATATTCTGTTTGAGCTAGTATATAGAGATATACTTTTATGATTGATTTTTCTCCCCAGAAACCTTGCTAAATATGCTTATTAATTCCAAAAGTTTGTCTATAGCTACTTTTTGATTGTCAACATATACAATCATGCCATCTGTGAGTAATAATACTTTTCATTCCGCCTTTTAAAGTATTATACTCTTTATTTCTTTAATTCATTTTATGGCATTGGACAGACCCATCCATTACAATGAGGAATTGAACTGGTTTTAGTGGACATCCTCATCTTATTCCTGATAAGAAATGGAAAATATTCAACATTTTACCATGATTTACTGTAGATTTTATTTGTAGAGATACTTTTTCAGAAGTTCCTTCTATTTCTAGTTTCTGAGAGTATTCCTCTTGGATATATGTTGACTTTCCCCAAATAGTTGTACTTCATCGACTGTGATTATAATAGGATTTGTTCCTCTATTAATTTATTACTATGGTGAATACACTAAGTACATTTAACCAACCTTGCATTTGTAGGGTAAACACAATTGGTTCCTGAAATGTTATCCTTTTTCAACAATCTATGTCCTAATATTTAGTATGTGTGTATATATGTATATATACATATAATTTAATAAAATTATTAAATAAAAAATAAAATTCAGTATATATACTAAATAAAATATTATATATATATATAGAGAGAGAGAGAGAGAGTGAGATTAACTTACACTTTGATTTCATGTACTATTTTTGTTTTACTTTGGTATCAAGGTTATGCTAGCTTTTTCATGTGAATTGGGATGTAAAACTTCTTTTTGCATCCTCTGGAAATAAAATCTCTACAAATTGTGAGTTATGAAGGGCTAGGCTTTCCCATGCTCATCTGTTTCTGTATGGCTTCTGCCTCTTACAGTTTTAAATTTTAGGACTTAAAAGGCAGTGACAGAAGGGGCAGCTCCAGGTTCCCATCCCTTCAAACCTTGTGAGGCACATCCTCTCTAAATGCTTTGAACCTTCTAATGGTGCTGTCACTCTGAAAGCTACCTGCTCATGTTTTTATGCTGATGCTTTTCTCAAAGTATATGCTTCTGAAAGTGTTGTATAAGGAACTAACACTGTACATGATGACTTTATCCAGTAATAGGATACTTTCGTAAAAATTTTCATCAGCATATGAATATAAAATTGTTTGACTTAAAAGACATTGTTCTTTCCTTGAAGGAAAGTTTCTCTTGTATCCCCTTCTGTTCTTTCTCAAAGTTAATTTAGAGGTTGAGAAGGATCAGTGACAAATCTCTTTTTTCCTCTGTAAAATTCTTTATTGGTCTGATATTCACCATATCTCACTAAGAAACCTCTAAAGCTACCTAATTCCAGCCTTGCACCCTTATTACTGTACACAGTGACAGCAGGTTGCATCTCTGAGCCCCCATTCATATCCGCACACATTTAGAGTTATGCAAAACCCTACCCAAAATCCACCTTGCTTAGGGAAAGACACAGGATTATAAATAGCAACTATTTCTTCTACTTGCAAGTTTAAAATATTTTCTTGATCCAAAAAGATTAAAAATCTATGGTTAGAAAAATGAGAAAACTGCAGGGTGGTATCTCAATTTTCACAAAATTTGTGAGAGATTCCTAGATGGTGTGCTAACTGCAAAGATCAGAAGCTAGGTAGAAATGAAAGGGGTACTTGTTGAAGCAAAATGTCTTGGGTCCTATCTACACTGCCTCTTTATAAGCTGTAGCGTGAAATAGCCATGGGTTTTTATTGTGGCTCTGACACATACTGGCTGTGTGATAGTGAGAAAGATATTTACACCCTTTGGAACTGTTTTGCATTACTAAAATATAAATTACAATGTTTATACTAATGTATTAGTATGATTAATAAGTGAGATAAAGCCAGGCATGGTGGCTCATCCCTGTAACCTCAGCACTTTGGAAAGCCAAGGATTGCTTCAGACCAGGAGTTTGAGACTAGCCTGGGCAACATAGCAAGACCTCATTTCTACAGAATAATAATAATTAAAAAAATGAGATAACACATATGAAGTAGGCATTACAGTATAAATGGATTTGGTTCACTAGTTATAGTCCATTTTTAATTACTTTTTTATTTCATTTACTTTTATAATTATATCTCTAGTAAGAGATACTGATTTTCAATTTCAAGTAATTATATAACTGAATGAATCTGAGCTCAGAAATTAATTTGATTTAAGTAAACAATTAAATTGCAGTGTAGTTGGTATCAGATGTGGCATTGTATCTAAAGTTTGTTTATAAATGACAGAGGCATGGCAAAGGTCACCTTAGGTCATCTGATGTGCTAAAAACTGCTCCTTATTGTATGTGATGGCAACGAAAATCAGTCAATATTGTGGTCATGCAACATCACACAACTCCATATCAGAGTCTATCTGTCAAGTGGTCAAGCAATCTCTAAGCAACCCTGTGGTGACTGACTAGGGCCACAAGGATCACCACT